TAAAAAAGGAATGACGTCACTTTTAGCCTTCATGTTTGGTCGGAAGGGTGCATGAAAGCTTGGCTCCAACTTTCACTGCTGTGAAACTAGATTTTACCACACTAGACTTTGTGGCTCCTGAGTCCTGATCAAATAACACATCTTTTTTGTTCTTTTCTCCACTCTCAAATATGATGCTCGAAACCGTAGTAGCCACCAGCACCAATGAGGAGGCAAAGTCTCCAAAAGGAAAGGGCGAAAGCGAAAAAAAAAAAGAAAATAAAAAGAAAATAAAAAGAAAATAAAAAGTGAGCATTGCCCCTAGGGATTTCATGTAAAGCCCTCTCACTCTCTCTAGTTTTTTGATTGGTATTTTTGCTCGTTGTCTTATATATGAACTCCGCATTTGATTTGATTTCCTCAAGTCCGTTTTGTTCAGACCAACCTTTAAAAGATACTCTCTTATACTTGCTTCCCCTTCGTCAATATGCTAATATACTCACTTCATATGATTTTCCCCAACCCTAACTCGCCAGTGCCCTCCACCTTTATAAGGAAAATTCTTCCCTTTTGCACTTGGCCATTATCGTTTCGATATCGAAGATGTTAGGGGAGGCCTGTGCAAAGGAGGGTATGAAAAGAATACCCTGTTAACAAAGAGGATACGCATAACAGGGCAAGCTTTAGGTGACAGGTGAATATCCTTGTACGAAAAGGCTGATAAAAATAAGCAGCAGCAGCAGCAGCAGCAAAAGAAGCATCAAAGGCTTTACACTTTTTACGTAGGACTGGCACTTTATGCACCCCCTGCAGCGATAAAGCACAGGATTATCCACAGCATGCACTTTCCATGGCACTCAACATTGCAGTAATAAAAAAAAAAGAAGGCTTACGATGCAAAAGATTACAGCGGTTAAAACTTTTCGCAAGAAAACAACTTCATGATTCAAAAAAAAAATTTACACGTTTGGAGCATGTTTTCAGGCCCTGCAGGTAGAAAAATGGCTGCGCGCACTATTTTGTTCTATAAGAAATGAATCAAAGCTTAGATACAGTCTATCCACCTGCTACAAATAATCACCCATGATTTTGACACACAGAATTACCGTCGATGAAAACACCAGCAATACCTTATCAGCACTATTCTAGCTTCTTATATTCAAATCTGTTTTCTAAAAGCTGATATACAAAAGAAGGGATCTCCAATGATGATAATTCACATACTCAAAGAATAAAAGTACATACAGCTGCAATAATTGAAGCTGAGTTCTGAGGTCAAGCTGCAAAACTAGAAGAGGTTGATCTTGCTTCAAATTATCGCCATGTACTTTGTGTTCTAGATACTGGAACACACTAAATAAATCAGAAATAATGATATGAAAATGACCAGGTTGAAGTGGCATGCACGGAAACAATTCAATAGATCAATCTTCATGTTCATCTTCGCCTTCAGAATCTACAAAATAAAAAAGAAATCAAAATGCGTGAAAGGTCAAGTGCAGAGCTAGTGTTTTCACCTTGAAAGAAACCGACAAACTTAAAAATTTATCGTGATCTCATTATTGATCAATAGAAAAATGATATGCTTCTGAACAGTATAATTATTTATGCTCAGAACTCTATTCATCCGCATGAGGTTATACTTTCACATGCATCTACCGAAAGTAAAATTAAAAGGAATAGCACGTACCAGACCGAACATCATCACCTATCTGCCCTTTTGACTGAATTTGTTTTACCAGCATCCGATAGATTAATACCCACCAATAAATATGAAGAACAAGCAAGGAAAATAGAAGTGTATTGAACACATAATAGTATATGGGCCCTTCAAACTTGTGCTTCTCCTTGTCCAAAGTCAATAAAACTTCATAACTGACAAAACACAGAAGAAGCTGTTAGTGTTAAATATTTACACATAACAGATCTGGTGATTTTTTCACAAAAACCCTTTTAACTCTATAAATAAGAAATCCCCAACCCTCACATTCCAAACAGTTTAATTTATTCTAAACCCCTGGAACTATTAGGAAATCTCATAAATGACATTAAAGAGTAGGTAATAACCTTCCTGGCTTGCCTTAAAATGCATTATTCAAGTCTCAAATTGGAAGCTTAAAGTGCTTTGTGCAGCTACGTTTGTAGAGTTCTACAAACGCAAGGTCCTAATCTTGTCCTCAAGCTAGACTAAATAAATCTACAGGCTAAAGGGAAAATTATGGTTTATGTTTTGCGTTAAGGAAAATATTGTGTTGCTCATGAAAAAAAGTATCTTAGTGAAGTATTGTGAACTGCATGGAAGTAACCACGTCTAGAAAAGTTTGATTACAATGGCCAAGAGAAAACGAGCTAGGATAAGTTTAGTTAACATAAATAATGAGATAAGAAGGCATGAAAAGATATAGGCACTTCAGTTGCATGACCAGTACGTCTGAGGAAAAGAAGCCAGAAATGAGTAACTGAAAGAACAATGGGTGTCTTTTGTTCTTTGTAATAGGTCATATAGTAGCTTCCTTTAATCGTCAAATTTCAGCTTTGGCTACAATAAACTCCTACAGATGTTAAAGAACAACTTACATGCTTGAAGGATTCATCAAAAGCCGTGAAAAGCCACCAATTTTTTCCAAGAGAAAATTTAAAGACATTGGTATGTTCCTTTTGTAACACAATCTAGCTACTCCCAAACAGCTTACAGAGGATGCAACAAAAACTAACAAAAAAAAAGAGTACATAAATGAAAATTATACTCACCTTGTACTTCGAAGAATCCACAATGGGAAGTACATGAGACGCAGTAATACCCATAAAGCAACAAAAAGAAGAAATGAAAGAACAGCAAGCCACTCACAGCCGCTATATTTTGACATCTTTCCCAATTCCAAGAATACATCACATGCATCATGAAGAGCCAAAACAACTGAACCAACACGAGCAAACCTGTTTAAGAACAAAGAAAAGAATGCCAGATCACAGAAAAAAATAAAGTGCTTCAGTTAGAAATGCTGATGTAGAATGAAAAAGTAAATGAATTGTAACAAAAACAGAAATTGTATTATGATTCTTAAAGTCCAGCCACCACACTGAAACTCCAAAGTTCGCTGAGGGTTGGGGGTTGTAATTCACTCTAACATGACCCCTCAGGTTGAGCACCATTGGTGGATCCAGAAAAACTTTCTTGGGGAACGATTGACAAATTACTATTTCAATATTTCCCAAAAATTTATATATGATGTTATAATACAGAATTCTTGACAAATTGATTAAATTCCCAACTTAGGTGGGCTAAAATTCAAATGGGGTGCAAATATCTTTAAACTATGGGGGGAAATTGTGTGTTTAAAAGCGTTTAGAATGAAATTTTATAAACTCAAGGGTATCCACTGTTGAGCTCCCTTCATGGACTGAAACCTTGACACCCGGAGGGTACGCTTGAGAAATTGTGGCCAGTAAGATTTTTTCTGGGTTGCTCTGCTACCATATTATAGTCTCAGTCACTACATCAAAACTCTGTACTTGTGATGAGGGTTGATGGTTGCAACTCTATACTCTAACAATGATCAAAAAGCATTGGTTTCTTACAGCACATATGTGCATACTTTTAACCATTGCAACTTACGCTTTTCAACAAATATACAAGCAGGACAAGTGGTTTCAGTAAGTAGAATCAGCAGTTCTGTCGCTGATGGATCAATTGGTTTGGTCTTTGACTTAATATATACAGAGTGAAGGGGGAATACACAAAGCTTTCTTTGGTCCAGAAATGCGTCTGTCTATTTGTGTTTAGAATTTATTGATTAAGCCACAGATACTCTATTCCATAAGAAGAAAGTACCACAATATAATAACCTATTGCTATGTGCAAATTATTTAGCGTGATTAAGCCCAATCCACTCTTGAGTTGCACAAATGTTTTCTCTTGCATCTGGAATGGACAGCTAATAGAAGTGCTATGATATGTACCAACCTTCTTAATTAACAAAAAATATCTACGACAACATTAACACATGAAATACTCCCATTTAAGAAGCAACTATGCTCCCATTTAGGGCAGTACAATCACAACAAAGTGGCAAGTCTACTGCACTGCAGCCTACGGAAATTCAATCTCACTTTCACAAATACTAGTGAAATTGATCCCTGCTCCAAAGAAAAAGATAACAAACAGATGATATTTTTAATTTTCATAATGACAGACAATATTCAGTAATCATAGGTAATGTAACCATCAAATATGATATTTACAAATGATGTGACAATATATTTTATACCTGCTAACAAGTTAAGCTAGAATGTAAAGAAGCATCATAAAAAATATTATAGATTATTCGCTCCTGATATTGCGTCAAATAAGAAGTTATAAATATGAAAATGATTGCCTATTTTGATCTCCTTGGTTGAACCAAGTATTGACTTCACCATGTAAGTTTGACCAAGATATAATTGAAGAGCTATATAAGTAGAATATGTATAAATCTACTGAACACATCGATCATGTTATTTCAGTGGGTTAATGCCATATGCAGTACCTACGTTGCATCAGCTTCCTAGGTAAGACACCATAGAATAGTATCTGGAAGAACGCATTTCATCATATGCAGTACCTACGTTGCATCAGTTTCCTAGGTAAGACACCATAGAATAGTATCTGGAAGAGCGCATTTCATTGATTTGTTGTAAGCATGAAGCGCTTGACACAAGTGTTATTGCTGACTTCGAATACACAGGGTTACAAAATCAAAACCAACACATGTCTCATGCTACATGCACTACATGCACATAAGTTTTGTACCCACTTACTATAGAGTTGTATGGCAATGATAACACCAAATTCACATGGCATGCAATTAGCATACTGTGAGATTCAACATAGTGAAGTAGCCTATCTATTTGCTGTTTACTCAAGAAACAACTAAAAAAATGTCAAACTACACATAGCAAATTCAAATCCTGAGTTCAATGGGCATAATAGATGTGCATAAGTTCCTTTAAAAGAATTGTGTCCATATACTGGAAAGCAGATGTTAGTTAATTCACAACACTGCTAAAATGCCACATACACTGCCCCACCTTTATCATGTAACTCTCGATCAATCAATGTATTTTATACGAGTCGCCGTGCGAGCACCCTTTGGTCGCGGAATTACCAAAATGTGGGTTGAGAAGAAGACAACTAAAACACAAGAACAATTCAGTATGGTGAACAAAAATACCTTCTCTAGATTATGAAGAATCAATTATTACAAATCTCTACCTCACAATCTCACTAGAATCGAGAACAACTTCTCAATCCTCTCTAAACCCTAATACAAAGATTAGAATCTCTCTCTGATCTAAGATCTCTAAGATCCTCACCATCTAAACCCTAATCTTTTTGATCAGGATCTCACTTAGACCTAAAACCCTTTAGATCTACATCTTGGCCTCTTTCTCCCTGTTTAGAACCCTAAACAGTCCCTATTTATAGGGTTTACAACGTGGTGGCAATCTGGTAAATAACTAAAACCAAACCCAACTAGGATTCCTTCAAAACAGAAACCAAGTCTGCCTAGGAAACCTCGATGAGTCGACTCATGACTGCATATGAGTCGACTCATGACTGATGAGTCGACTCATAAACTGGTGAGTCGACCGAGCAGAAACTTTTGACAAAACGGCTGGGTTTCGTAAGTCGACTCATGACAGGCATGAGTCGACTCAACCTGATGAGTCGACTCATGTACATGTATGAGTCGACTCACGAGCTGAAATCTGGATTCTTCGAATCTGTTGCTCGTCGTCTCGTTCCACGCTTCCACCTGTGCTCCGTCGTGTCGCTTCACACCACTATTCTCAAGATATCATGAGAATCACTTATCCTCAAGCTCCCATGAGGATCGGTTTTCCGAAGAGAAGATACACCCGTATCAGTTTTTGCCATTTGTCCATATTATTGGATTCACATGTAAAACAATACCTATCTATGAGGGTATGCTTCCTCTTTGCTTTGTGTGTGGCCAATTTAAAAATAAGGGATGATGTACATGGAAGACATGCAACTATAACTACACCCACCAAATTATAACATCTTGGTTTGCTAACTCAGAACCCATTCTGCAGTGAGACCACTGGGTTTTCTCTTTGGTTGGGGGTGGGGTAGGGGAGTATCAAACCGGTGGTTGAATCTGCATTTAAATCAAGGGCAGCAGCACAAGTTACACAGATCAGAAATAAAAATCAGCAGATTGCACATCTAACAACAATAGTTATGGCACTGAAAGTGTTGGGCAATAAAACACACCCAAACATTATAGTTGGGCCCCGTACATCCTAAAATAAAGGCAGAGAATCAGTGCAGTCACAAATTCTCAATAGAATGTTAAATAACCAGTACTTTCCTACTTCTTTACATTTTCCATCTTTTATCACCTTTCAGGGTAGAGACTACCAACCATGTCCTGAATCTGACTAATGCATTGAGGTAGTGCACTCACTGAAAAAAGAGTTCAGTCAGTTTGAAAAGTATTCATGAATCTAAGAGAAAAGATAAAATCAGAAATCCCAGATATAACATCATATAAATAACGTCTGAAAAGTTGAAAGCACTAAATTAATACGATTGTCAACTGAAAATCGGTGAGAACACGACTTTAACTAATTTCCAGGTCAGTCGGAGACAAACCTGAGTATATATGATAGGATTATAAGAATGGCGGTTGCTACATGATGGGACATGGACACTCCAAAGTCTGATCGTCGTGTCTCCCAGAACATCAATGCAAATATGGAATATGTATAGAATCCAGCAGCATACATGTAAACACCTTTAAGTTTCAATCTGAAGAGAAGCAAGCACTTGATCAACAGATATAGACAGACAATATAGCCATTGGATAAGTTGATGCAAAGCATGTAGAGATTTATATAAATATTTACTTTATCTTTTGATCAGGCCAGACTTGATCTCCAGGTCCTACCCAAAAGTATCTGGTATTTTCAAACCATGGTTCATTATATGTAACAGATAAAGACAAAAGCTCTCCTGTGAGAAAATAAACAAACTTCCATGCTGATTCCTTAAATTTTTTAATCTTCTTTCTCCCTCCATCAACTTCATAATTAGGTTTGTCATGCCCTTTTCCAAGAACAAGCCTCTGTGCCACTTTCTACAAAAGCAGTAATACATCCAGTCAAAAGACACAACAGATGACAAAAAATGATTTTTCCAGTAATAAAGCTGAAAGTTCTACCTATCTACACAATTATTAAATAACAAAGTTAAGAATTTGGAAAGTTGAATAGAATCTAATTTAAGACATAAAAAATAAATAGAATAATGATGAGATAAGGAACTGTGTTTTTATGTATCAATTAGATTAGATGTGAAACTTATTTACAAGACAGGGGAAAATGATATCACAACTATATTAAAATGGAACCACATACACAATCAGTGAAAGTATGTAAGGCTTATTCTTCATATAGTGGTTAACATTGCTCAGTATGTGCCATAGCAGAAACAGACGCCTTGTAGAAGCATTTTTGTCGTGTGCCTATTTCAATCGATCCGAAGCTGGCAATTAGCAAGAACCAGGAATAGTAGAAGGGCTGAGAGAACAACCATTTAAAGAAAATGCCCAGCGTAGGTGCATATAACAAGGAGTTAGCAACAGCATAGTACAGTATTTTTAATTTCTGAACAATACATCAGCATTTGCATCATGTCTACCCCTTCTTGTGGGTGCACTTTGTTATGAAAAATCATAGGCATAATACTCCCTTCGCTCCACAATGATCGCCCAGTTCATTTAAGTTGGGATCTGATCTTATGGTACAAGAATTTGCAAAGCCATACATGAGCATTCACAAGGTTGAATAAAAGAGATTTTTTTTCTACGGTATGCTTATGCCTGTGAAGTAATATATTGTGTTGCGCTTGCTAAAATGCTTCAAGCTTAATAATACTGAATAAACATATAAGTGCATTAGTCAACACAAGGATCACAACTAGTCTTATGTTCTACTCAATGCTTTTAAGAATCTTATTTTATCATTTTAATTAGTGAGGCCTGATTCTGATTGTTTATCCTGACACCCTTCAGCTGCTATTATACAGAAAGCTGAAATTTGTCATTGACTGAGAGCACTACAGTACATACAGAATAACAAGATTTCTTCTGCTTTCTATAGGGTTTGACTGCTGGATGTTGTGTTGTCACATTGATCCAAACTTCCATCTCATATAAACATTGACAACAGGGCCTAGAAATCAAATTCTATGTGAAAATACTAAAATACTGTCTATATACAATAGAAAAACTCTGTTATTACTCGAGAGGTGCTCGCTTAGTACAAGTACGATATAACAGAAAACTCACATGAAGATATTCAAATTCATGGCTTCTAAACTTCAGAGAAAGGTGCATAAAAGAAAATGTAATTCCTAGATATTGATGTTTTTCTTTTTATTAGGGCCACGTTTCTTAGAAACTTCTGAGGCAGCTAAAAAATGCATTTGTCAAATAAGAGTTGGGATTCCGTAACACTTCCGCAAGTAAGGCTTATGCTAAACAAACATCAAGAAGGATTCTAAGGACTAATCTCCTAACTTGTCAAATGAGGTGATCTTGTGAGTGAGTGAATAAGAGTGTATATAAAATAACTTAACTCTTGGGTCGAGACCATATTAATAAATTCATCATAGAAGTTTATTTATAATTTTAAACTACTCTTCATTGTTGCTCTTTACTCTTTAGAGACGTATGGTCTTAGGAAAATATATTTGCAACTTGTAGATTGTTGGTTTCCATCAGTACAAGAGCTAAAACAATATATTCCCATGAGGTTTTGTTCTCATGATAAAAATTTGTATATGTTTCATGGTCTCACAAAGTAAAGTTCCTTAACAACATTATCGAAATTTCTGTATTTTAGAAATAAAAGTTTTCTTAAGCTAGAAATGCATACCATTTCTCCTTTGTTTTAAACCTTAACCGCCTAACAACCACCTAAAGTAGAAAAGCAAGTGCCAAGAGATAAAAGGATAAAACGTAGGAAGATGTCAAAAAGAGAGTGCAGATGGTAGAGGTTAACTGATCTAAAAATCTCTGTAGGTTTTGAAAATTGGTTTCTATACCAGAAGAAGAAGATAAAAAGAGGGAAAAGTAATGGGGGATAACTGAAAGAGGGTATGAAATCCTCTTTCTAAGTCACCATTTCAAAGTTTAAAACGTCAGAATTTGAGCTTCAACTTAAATCTATTACCCTTTGTCATGTGTCCCTTTACTGCCTTCAAGTATATCATTATCAAGCCCTGGTGTAGAAATGAGAGCAAAGTAAACCCCGGAATGTTTATGGCCACCCTCTCATTCCATCTATGTGTAAGAAAATGGCTGAGATTTTTCATATGAAGATGCATTTGCAACACAAAACAGAAAAAGAGCAGCTTCCCAACAATGAAATCCTTTAACGATCGTCCATGGCAGCCTCTGCGCTTTATCCAAGTCCCATGGGCATATCACATTGGATAGTGCATGCCTAAGCATCTTGCACCCATGATTTTGGGTTGCTGAAGCACCTAGATAAGGTAACCTAGAGCCTAGGAGGCCATCTGATGATAATAATGCATCTTATAACTCTTTTAAAATTATCCTGTTAGAGTATAAATTATAACCATCAACCCTTCACCTCAATTTCAAAGTTTTGTGCGGATCCTGGCATGGTACCAGAGCAACACAAGCTCAAACTTTGCTGGCTACGAAAAATGATATCGCTCCGCAAGTCCAGGTGCCCATGAAAATATGCTTAACTTGGGGAGATTTAGAATATAAAATTATACTCGTTAACTCTCACCATAAACTTGAAGTTTTGGGGTTACGGCACGATCCTTTAACATCATGTCAGGGCAACCCGGATTTGAATCTTAATGGCCACGAATTTATACTCCAATTTAAAAAAAGATCATCTTTTATGAGTTGAAGCCTGTGAAAAGACCCTCAATCTACAGAGGCATGTTAGAGTACATTTACGTAGACCTAGAATGTACATTTACAACTCCATCAAAAAAAATTAATTTTGAGAAACTATTGAATTGTTGATGTAATTTAAAGTTATCTGCTTTAATTTTAGGTGCAAAAACAATATTTGCATCCGCAAAAATATTTGTGTCCGTGTGCGTTAGGATACATATATGGTTACTAAATATTTATACCTGATAAAATATGGTTACCAATATGGATATGTAGAGAAATATCTGGATCCATGTCCAAAATATCCAAACATATGTTGATCATACAATTGCAATTGTTTTGATTCTATATATTAATTGATTTGAAATTAATTTTGATGGTCGAGAGAGAGATTAATTTTGATGGTCAAGAGATTTAATCTTAGCTTTTCAGATATAATGATCATGTCAACAAACTTATCACACAAACTATTTTTTTTAATCTTATATGGTTTTCTCATATTTGATTTGCATCTATATGTATGCATGTATGTATGTACAGTGTTCAAAAAACATATTACACCCCCACATATGCGGGCAAGTATGCGGAATCGGCTCATTTCTTCTTAGAAATGGGTTAATTCGCTCAATTATGCAACAGCCGCATAATTGAGCGAAAACCGCATACTCCCCTGCATAAAAAGAGTATATGGGCGAGTTTTAAGATAGGTATTAACGGGTTTCGGGTCCAAAAAATAAACCTGTAAATGTTTTAAACCTAAAAAACCACTCAAATACTTATCCCCTAAGTCCCGATTCCTTTTACAGCCTAGCTCCGCTGTCTCTGTGGAAAAAAAAAAGAAAAACCCTAAACCCCTCTCCATCTTCACCATCGATTGTCCTCTTCACCATCGGATCTCTTCTTCCACCGCTGGATTTCCTCTTCCACCGCCGGCAAGATCTCATCTTCCAATCTTCTCCATCTTCTTCTGGATCTCCTAATCACCGTCTTTTTCTTGTAGTGTTCACCATCTTTCGTTGAAGCTTCGAGTCTTTACCATCTTCCGTGGACTTCTCCTTCGAAGGTTAGAAAACTCAAAACTAATGCTTTTGGTCATTATAAAAGTTTCCATATTTTTTATTTATAATTATTGGGTTCTTTTGATTTCATCTAGTTAAGACCAACTGCAGTTAAATGAGGCATCCCTTTGCTGGATGAAAACATTTGTAGAATGTTTCATAAAAAGATCCGATCTAGAATTTGCATGATCATAGTGACTAAAGGCAAATGATTGTTGATGAGAAGTTTATAAAAGGAAGCAAACACACATGAAAGTCCAAATAGAGCTGGAGGGAAGAAACATTAGGAAAGTTATTTCATTTTTGTTCGTCATCTCATATAAAAAGCTTAAACAATCATCCATTTGCATTCATGAATCTTTGGACTTATGGAAAGCTTGTAGATTATATGCTTATATTTTAATAATACCAGTTTGATCAAGGAGGCTGCTATGCTTTTGGGAATCAATGTGCTCCCCAAGCTGCCTTGTGCATGATGAAAGTTAAAGGGGAGCATACATGTTGTCTCTTGATCTATTTCTGTTATTCTGAGTATTTCTGTTATAATGAGTGTGAGTAGTTAGACTCAGAGCTCTATAAATTATGATATTAGTTTTTGACATTCATTTTTGTGAATAATGTTTCCACTAGCTTTATGATAGCAGAATAATTATGGGCATTCACTGTTGACTACCCTATGCTTTACTTTAAGACTCTCCAAAGCCCAATGTGGTGATTATTATTTAAATGTGATATTTTGCGTTTATACGTGTAGGATTTCTTGATTTATGTCATCATCAATGGTCATCAATGACCGCAAATTCAAGCATGATACGAGAGACAAACAATAGTGGTGAGCAAATACTGAAAAAATCTCCTGGTTCTACTGACGTGGGATGGAATTATAGAAAGCTCATGAAGAAGGATTGTCATCTTACTGTGCAATATAAGAAGTGCATGAAGGTTATGAAGGGAGGAGTCAACCATCTCAAACAACACATTGCCAGAATTGGTGAAGAAGTAAAGGGATGCCCTCTTGCAAGTGATGAGGACAGGCGAGCTTGTCGACAGAACTTAGATGCAATCAAGATGAGAAAGAACGACAAGAAGAAGATGGAGTATGAGATGAGACAAGAGGTCCGCATTTCAAACAAGAGGGAGGAGGAAGCACCCGAGCTAGCTAGTATTAACTTGAAGAAGCCACGTATCTTCGGTCTATTAGATAAGATGGTTGCAAATGGTAAAATGAAGCAAACCGTGCTTAATGAGACTGAGAGGAGGCAGTGGAGAGATTTAGCTCATGAAAAATTGAGAATGTGGGCATATGTACTGGGACTTACTTTTCATGTATTTGACATGAAGGAAATTGATATCGCATGTGAGGCGATTGGGAGGTATGGGGCGGGGTAAAAGGGGCCTAGTCAGTATCAATTTAGACTTTCTCTTTTGAAGAAAGCATGTGATAAGACTAAGGGAAGGTTGAAGAAGCAAAAGCAATGGTGGGATGAGTACGGTTATAGTATTCTTACCGATGGATGGACTGACAGGAGGCACATGAGTGTGATGAACTTGTGCATCCACTGCGATGAGGGCACAAGTTTCCATCAAATCTATCGAAAACTCCGAGCATGCCCACACGGCAAACTACATCTACAAGTGGGTTGAAGATTGCATAATGGAGATTGGAGAGTCTTGTGTAGTGCAGGTGGTTGCTAATAATGTTGCTTCTAACATAGCTGCAAAGAACAAGTTGAAAGATGAGTGTTCGAATATAGTCTAGGCTAGTTGTGTGGCACACACGATTGATTTGATGCTGGAGGATATTGAGAAACTTCCAAAGTTTAAGTCTATGACAGAGAAGGGGAGGAATCTCATGATATTTCTCTGCTCGCATCATAGTACTCTTTCTTTGATGCACAAGTTTACTAATAGAAAGAAACTTGTTCGCCCATCGCCCAAGAGTTACACGGTTTTTCACTTCCTTCCTTAGCTTGACTAGTTTGCTGGAGAAGAAGCCGTAGTTAGCCGTTATGGTCTCTTCACCTGAGTGGGAAGAGAACAGATGGGCCAAGACATCTAAGAGAGTAGCTATCAAGTATACAGTCCATTCCAAGATTTTTTGGAAGGATACACAATTGTTAATCAAAATTTATGCTCCTCTTTTCAAGCTACTGAGAATTGTTGTTGCAAAAAGGAGGCCCTCCATGGGCTTTATCTATGGTATACTGGAGGATGCCAAGAATGAGATAAAATTTGCTTGCAATAGGAAGGAGGTTGTTTATCAACCGATTGTTGAGATTATCGAAAAGCATGCAACAGACAGGCTAGACAGTCCACTACATTTGGCAACTTACTTTTTGACTCTCTATTACCACTATAGAGATAAGACGCCTCACGAGACTATAGCTGCTAGGAGTATCATTTACTATTGTCTTGATGTATTCTTTCGGGGATGGAGGAGGCGTAGGACAAGGTTGCACAAGAAGAAATGGAGAAGTACAAGAATGCAAGGCTTACGGGAAGTGGATTGTCAAAACGTTATTATATGAGTTTCAACGGCACGAATAATTTTGTAAAATATGTATCTTGATTTGTAAAATATGTCGACATACTAAAAAGAGGAACCAGCTAGACCCAAAGAGGCTAAATGATCTTGCATTTGTTGCAAGTCAATAGAAAGTTCATACAAAAAAGAGAAGGAAGAACAAAGAGTAGCAAAAGGAAGGACGTGCTTCTAGCTAATGATGATTCTAGAGCATTGCACTGGAAGCTCGACAATGTTAAAGAAAGGAAGAATGAAGAAGAAGAGGAGATCTTTTCTGGTAGCATACTTTCATGGAAAATTGTTGCCGATGCTGGTGGGGCTAATGAAGACCAGCGTAGGAGGAGTAGAAGGATACCCAGGAGGCATGCTACTAGGGAGAGGACAGATCAAGAGGGTTCTTCTAGTGCAGCTATTGATGACATGACTGATGAAGGGATTAATAAAGATGATTTGGATAAGGATAATAATGATGATTTTGAGGCTCCCTCTAAAGAAGAGTTGGATGTTGGTGTTCGTTATGAGGATGATGAGGAAGACTAAATGCTTTGGTTTTATTTTAATTTAAGTGTTTAATTAGTAACTTTTATCTGAGTAGTTAGTTTATTATGATGTATGCATGGATAATGGATGCGTTGGATTGAGTGTTTAATTAGTTAGTTAGTTATTGATTATTCAGTCAAATGTTTATTGGCATTTTTCTTAGTATATGTTCTATCTTTTATGAATTATATACATTTTTATGTATGAAAAATAATAAATATATGTTAAAAAATTCAAAAACGCATAATTTGGCATAATCTGATTAATCGGCACATAATCCAATTAATCTTGACTTGCTCTCGGACCGCACGGATAATAAAACCGTGTTTTTGATCATTGTGTATGTATGTATGTATGGAACAATATGGAGAAATTTAGCACCAAACATTTTTGTGCTTGGTAGTGAGGTGACTCATTCACATCCACTTATTCAAATGAAGGACAACATTCACACGGGTTAGAGAGTGGATGAGAATGAGACACCTCACTACCAAGCACACGAGACATGTATGTATTCGTATCCATATTCATGATTGATAAGCGGATATGAAAATGGCAATTATCATATCTGGGCCGTAGCCAATCCGTTTGCACCCCTAGCTTCAATACACTCAAATATTGAATAAACAGCTAAAAAATCAAAAACTAATCACTCAACCTCAAATACGAAAATTTGATGATGATGATAATAATAATAAACAGTTCAGATAGCAATCAACCATCAACCTAAACCGGGCAAAATCAAATTTTTAGAACATAATCACCATCATCTACACTTTTCCTTTCTTTTTTTTCCTTTTTTTTAATTACCTCAAACACGAATCTGTCGAGAAAGAATCTGACGATGGGAAAGAAGACGACGAGGATTGGGAGAGCGATGAAGTCATCGTAATTGGGATAAGACTCCTCCTCCCAATTAATTGACGGTAAGAACTGCGTCAATCCCATTGGAGTTAATTCCTGTCAAAGATCAAAAGAGATCCAAGAGATTCAAAGGGAAGGAAGAGACTAGAGGTTGAATATTGATTTCTTCCTCCTTCAATGCAATTTCCCTCTCATCGGGTCTCTATCTCTCTTACAAGAGAAAGAGCGTTGAACGCTGGATTCGGAGAACAGAAGTGGACTCAACAGCTGATCAAATATTTTTATAGAGTTGGACTCTCGATTTTTATCGGATGGAGCTTTTACTTGGATTTTGTATTTGGGCACGGTCTCTTATGTACCAGAACTCTTTTTTTTCTTTAATTTTTTTTCCCACTTTTCTTTTCCGGTTTCTTCTCGTTATGCCCGTCAAGTCTATCATATTTACAAATTTCGGTAAATTGCAGATAACACCCCTCATCTATACCTCAGCAGCGCTCATCACCTCCCTCAACTAGTCTAGTAAAGCACTTAATGTGATGCTCACAGCTTTAACTAACCAATTTTGGCAGTAGTTTAAACAATGCGCGGCTCTCTCCGTGTTAGCGAAAATATTATTGATTAACCGTTTCCTTAGAACAATTAAGGGACATATCATTGATTATTTTTATATTGAAGAAATTTTCAAACTAAACTCATTCTCAATTTTATTCCCAAAATTCGACCAACTTCAAACTTAATTATGAAAACTGACCCACTTTCTCACCACGTAAGCATCGTTGCCAGAAAGTGGGTCGATTTAAAAAAAAAATCGTGATCCTAATTAATAATTAGGAGCTCGTCCACAACGCTTCAGTAATTTGGCAGCTAAATTAGTCGGGGTTCGAAACCCCGACTAATTTAGCCATTGCAAAAATGGTCGGGGTTGGGAACCCCGACTATTTTGAAATGCCTAATTCGAAATGGTTGGGGTTCCCAACCCCGATCATTTAGCAGAGAGCAGTCAACCCTAGTTGGGGAAGTGGAAAATTAGCAAAGTGACACAATAGTCGGGGTTGTCAACCCTGATGTAACGCCCCGCCCCGGAGTCGGTACGCTATTATATCTGATGGATTGGCCTCACAACCCACCACATGTCTTTTCAGCACGTTTTGTCCTCACTCACGCGCTCCCTAGAAAACTTCCCCGGGGTCACCCATCCTAGAATTTCTCCAGGCCAAGCACGCTTAACTTTGGAGTTTCTAAGAGTTGGGTTCCCGAAAAGAAGATGCATCTTGGTGGTATGAGTATTCCAATCAAATCTATTAATACTAATCACATCACCCTCTCAAGGGTTGGGGTATTACAAACTCCCCCACTTAAACTCGCAACGTCCTCGTTGCGCCAAATCATATCATCCAAGACCGTACCATCCATGTGAGATTCTAGAAGTGGCTCCTACGGCCTCAAGATGTAGCTCCCGCCCTCTTGACGTAGCACTTTGCGCCACATAGCACTTAGCTCTCACAATTCCGGTTGGCTTTGCTCTGATACCATTTGTAACGTCCCGCCCCGGAATCCCGGAGTCGGTACGCTATTATATCTGATGGACTGGCCTCACAACCCACCACGTGTCTTTTCAGCACGTTTTGTCCTCACTCACGCGCTCCCTGGAAAACTTCCCAGAGGGTCACCCCCATCCTAGAATTTCTCCAGGCCAAGCACGCTTAACTTTGGAGTTTCTAAGAGTTGGGTTCCCGAAAAGAAGATGCATCTTGGTGGTATGAGTATTCCAATCAAATCTATCAATACTAATCACATCACCCTCTCAAGGGTTGGGGTATTACACCTAACTACTTGTTCTGGGTCCCGCCCCCTATATAAAGTAACTGAAACCCTCCTCTCCCAACCTCATCTCTCCTAGCCGCATCTCTCTTCTCCAACTCTGGTCACTCTCTCGTTGTACTGCAACCCATCTCAATTTTAACCCCATTTTGCGGCTGAAATTCGTCGTGAAAAATTACTTAAGATCTCTAGGGTAATTTTTTTTCCTTCTCCCCTTTTTTAACATGTAAAAATCTAGGGTTTTCTCTCAAAAATAAAATTTTAAGGTTTAAAATTTATTATCAACCACTCTATTTGCGGTGGTTCGAATGCTTTGTGTGTTAATTGTTAAAATTAAAATTAAACTTTTAGGGCATAAAATGCTCAATTCTAAGGTTTAGGATTTTCAATTTGGGTTTAGGGTTTTTGATCAAAATTATATGAGATTATTTGCATCTTAGGTTTTCCTCTCTTATTCGATGCCCTGATAATATTTTTTAAATTTTTTTGCATTTAAATCATATAATCTTCTTTTGCATAGGTTGAATAACATGATTTTTATTGCTTGCTCTTATGGTGAAAAAATTAATTATGGAATGAATAATATGCTAATGTACGTCGGAGGGGTAACAATATCGTTAATGATCTTGCAATCATATAGTTACTGTGACTTGGTTAAGGAATTACACCAAATTATGAAAATTGACCCACGAGAATACCAACTAAAAATAATATGCAATTGGCCCATAACTTTTAATAGAACATTCACAGTTAAGATCTTAAACGATCATCATATGAGTATTATGTTTAATTTGAGCAAGTCGCAACCAACGGTAGAATTGTTTATTGAAAAGTTACCATATAGTCCGTGCCAAATATTCAAAGTGCATATATCTTCAGGAGAATTCTCACGCATGTTAGATTTGAGAGTTGAGTCTGATGGTTTTCTTTCTTCTTCGAGTGAAATGGAGCGGACTCATTTTCAATATCTAAGTGCACCTTCATTCGGTGGAACGTCAAATATCATGAACAATGAAGTCTCTTATAAAAATATGAGGCCGTTAAGAGGGGTAATAATTGAAGATGATGAAAGAAGCAACGACTCTGAAGGTGAAGAGCAAGATAGTGCACCAATTGATAGCATGTAATCTGTGAGTGAAGATATTAAAGAGAATCCAGATTGGCCTGATGAGGCTTATGTTAATAATGAATATGTTGAGTACGAAGAATCACCCCCCGACGAGTTTGAAAATGATGAGTGAATTCGTTCTTCCATAGTACAAGATATATGCATTGGCCAAAGTTTAACTCATAGAAGAGATGATGATGTCCCTTTCAGAGTTGGTGATTTATTCGAGACTAAGGACTAATTGGTTGATGTTATTCGTGATTACTCAATCAAAAAGAATGTCAAATTCAAGCAAGTTAAAAGCAATCACACAAGTTATGATGCAATTTGTTTTATGAATATACAAAGGAAAGGTTGGGCCGAGGGAAATGAAACTGATTACGCATGTCCTTAGAAGTTATATGCATTTGCCGAAAGAAACATAATTGATATTTTAGAATCATAAAATAATACGATGTTCACACATGTAGCAATCCGATATTAGAACAAGATCACAGTGGTGCATCTGCCTCTTACATAGCGTGGTTGATTATGCCAAAATTAAAGAAGAAGCTTGAACTAACTCCTGGTAATATAATTGAGAGAGTGTTAGATATGAAGTTCATTGAAATATCATATAGCAAAGCATGGAATGCAAAGAGAATTGTGATGACAAAAATATTTGGTGATTGGAAGAAGTCTTATGCGACACTACCTTAATATCTTGATGCGATCAAAAGAAGCAATTCTGGAACTGAATACAAACTCATAACCAAATAGATCAATCCGAGAGTTCATCAATTCACCTCTATATTTTACGTATTTGGTCCTTCATTCGAGAGATTTAAATTTTATCGGTCGGTTCTTAGTATTAATAGCACACACTTATATGGTAAATATAAGGGTGTATTAATTGCTTATTGCTACAGGAGTAGATGCAAATTGTGGCCTATTTCCTTTGGCCTTCACAGTTGTGGAGGTCGAGAACAGTGAAAATTATGAGTGATTTTTTTCTTGCATTCAATTATATATTTTTAATGTGTTTCCTCCTAGAAAAATTACTTATATATCCGATAAGATGAAAGGTATTCCAAAAGCATTATACAAAAGATTTAACTCTCATCACCATTATCGCTATTGCTTACGATACATTAGAGCCAATTTTAAAAGGAGCTTTGGTCAGATACATTTACAAAACCTTCTTTGGCAAGCGGGTTGTACACCCGAAACATGTGTGTACGATCAGATACGAGATCAAATCAAGGCAACATCTCAAGCTGCACATGACTGGATTGAGAGTAGTTTGGGAAGTGAATATGTCGACCGGTGGGCATTAAGTAAAGATGGAGGGAATCAGTTTTGCATGATGATAACTAATTATTCTGAAAGCTTCAATAGGGTACTTAAGGGGGCTCGAGCAATGCACATACAGGTGTTGGTTGCAAGAATATTTTATAGACTCAATCACTATTTTGTTAAGCGATGAGAGGATGGAATAAAGTGGGTGACGTTATTAAAACTAAAACATGAAGAGATTGTAGGAGCTCGTGTCAAGCAGGCGAGATCAACGAAGATTGTTAGATTTGCTGTAGATGAATGGCAGGTTACAGACAAACACGGTCATAATTACACCATCAATTTACGAGGGACACAATGCACATGCACTTGTAACATACCAGAATTATAAAAATTATCATGTTCACATGTTATAGCAGTTACACCCAAGCAATTTAGGAGTGCAAATATTTCGTATTACACATACACTTTTGAGTGGTATTAATAAACCACTATAGAGATTCATACAAGCAGTATTTTCATCAAATTGTAGGTAGTCGTTACTGCGCTTCTGAGTGGTATCAATAAAGTCACCCTATAACGGGCTGCATGTGTTATCTCCTGAATATAAAAGACATGTTGGACGTCCGTGATCAGTACGCATAAAAGGTACAATGAATGAAGGACGGGAATGAGCTCCAAAAAAAATAGGTGTGGATAATGCAGACAACCGGGTCATAATAGATCTCATTGTCCTACCAATCCAAATAGATACCAATTAATGGGCACAATTTATTTAATTTATAATTTTATTCTACTTCCTTTGTAAGTCAATGCTTATATATAAAATCTGTAATTTTATTCAATTTCTAATTTAGCATACGTCATAATACTGACATATTTTATCTTCATATGTGTAGATATTTACAGTATGGAGGCGGGTCCATTGACATATGAGGTCCTTTATGACCAAGATCGACATTGATCCCCAAAGATAGACTCTGGGGAGGTAAATTACAATTTTATCATTTTCAATCATTTCAATGTTTCAATGTTCTTGATTGTTACTGAACATTTATACAGTTTAATATATGCAGGGCCTGAGTATTACTATTGCTGATCATACTCGTTTAAATCCGAGTTGGGATTTGAC